GCACATAATCAGCTAAGTCTACTTTTAAATGCGGAACGCCTTTTCTTTATCGTCTACGAGATAAGCTATGATATAGATAGCCGGAGACACTTACTACAGATGGTCTCAGTCAGTAGTTATCTAAACATATAAAACACTCAATCTATACAAATAGATTGTCATAAATATAAATAATCGTGCCAACTTTTATTGAATTTAATTGTAATTTAAAACTTAGCGAAACTAATAATTGCTAAATACTTAACCCCGTACCAAAGCGGGGTGACTGAGTAGTATCAGATGTAGAAAATGTATTGCAAAATATTTGCGACAGCCCTACGCATCATTCAGTTGAGCGTTATAATGGGTTTACACTTTTGCGGTCTTTTGTTCTACAGATTAGTGGAGGATAATGATACTAGATTTTATCATAATTTAAATAAAGTATTCTCAATAAAAAACAAGCTTCGGGCGTTAAAATGTTTTTTAAAGTAACTCTAACTGCGGAGTTACTGCATAATTTATTTTAATGTGCTCCTTTTATTCTTTTCTCTATCTACTTTGAAAGTATAATCAAAATAGATATCTATTTATAGACCACAAAATATATATATATATTTTGACAAAAAGAAATATAAAATTGTATAAAACCACTAATTTTGATCATTTATTACGTAAAAATATCATTATTTACGTAAAAATTTGAGTTGGAATTTCTTCCTAAAAAGATAACTCAACCTTAGGATTCTTAGTAGGAAGAAATTCTATTCCTACTTCAATTTTTCTCGATCAAATATTCTTTCAGCGATATAGCCACCTTATATTGCATTTTTATACACATATATTTATTTTACTAATTAATTGTACGTTTCTTCATAATTGTATATTGCAAATAAAGCATTTTCTATCTAAATATCGTATTTTTTTGTAATGGCCGTGGCAGACTTAGCAACTTAAGAATACACTAACCTATACAAGTGGTCACTGTCATCTCGTTACGTGAACAATACCACGAACACCAAGAACGTCATCATGTGACGTCCACTTTGCCCCTCGTGTATTTCCACTCTGGAAGACCAATATGTCATGTCATATCTCCGAACCTTATAACTTTACTGCCGTATCTCACCCTTAAACTGAAACACATCTTACGAAGCCAGCTACCTAGCAGTAGGAATAGGTATACATGTATCGGAGATGTTCGGAGATGAAAATCATCACTCCTAAGAGTATCCTTCAATTCTTGTCCCTATAGGTAGCTAACTTTGAAAAAGGGCAAGCACAGTACATCTATACATGTCGTAGTGTTAACACCTGACAAGAGCCCTAAATCCTCAATTTGCTTTGAAATTAATATCTCAAGAAACTTTAAAATTTAACTGCATTGTCAAAGCCTATATCTTTCATACACATATTTATTAAACACGTTATGAAACTGTGAATTAAAAAAAAGTTTATTAATGAAAAATTGTTATTGTTAAACTTTATTAAAGTGGAAAAGTAACAGTTACAAATGGTAAACGGATGTAATATAACACGGCGCGTAGTCGCAGTGTTACGGCCCGCAACTGCGGCCCACTCCTATTGATGTGCAATTGCGCACACACTGCGCTGGGCACCAACCGCTTGCTTACTGTGGATGGCGGCTTTCTTAATTATAATTATACACATATAATTACTAACTTATAAAAACGTCTTGTAAACCTATTTTAGGTATTAAACTGTTGTGTCCTTTTCTAACAAACAGTTTTGTTGGTTTAATAAAAAGTGACAAGGCATTGTAATAGTTTTCTGAATTGCAACACAAAAGTTGTTTCTTTTTTAAGGATGATTATGGAATGGTGCACTCGCCTGCGCTAACGGTTTACGCAGGCGGGGCACCAGTGGAGGATGATAAGATGAACATGAAGTCAGATCAGTTAGCCCAACGTGACAAATTCACCGGGAATGTATCACGATGGTTTCCAGGGGGAGCCGCGTAGAGGTCGATCTAACATGGTACATTGCTAGCAATGGGGTCATTAGTCCACATTACTACCACCAACCCTTCCCCCCACAAAAGTTGTATTGCGAATGTCATATTATATCGTGATCTCTGTAATGGTATTTTTGTAATAAATGAGAATGGAAAATGATTAGTTGAACATGTGGTCAGGTCAGTTAGCCCATCGAAACAAATTCACCAAGAATTTATCATGATGGTCTCCAGGGGGAGTGCAAGGATTTCAACCTAAATGATACATAGCTAGCAATGGGTTCAATGTAGCTCACATTACTAACAATCCCCTTCCCGACCCCCATGTAGGTATACATGTAGGCGAAGTTAGCCGCTTACCATTAAAAACCATCGGCTTGTTAGCCATTTTAATTATAAGAATCATTTTCTAATCTCTAGAGGTTTGTTTCATAAATTAAACAAATAATGAGAGGAAACTGGCTTTTATTATTTTTTACCTGCTTAAATGCAATAGCTGTATGAAAATGTACTGACTAGTTACTTTTTTAATATTATGTCCATTACTAGAAAAATAACCTTTGTTTTATATTCTTAACTATAGATAAATTAAATAAAGAAGTAATACAATATTTATCTACTCTGTAAGGCATAATTTTGACTTACATTGGAGTCATGAAGTCACGTTTTACGAACTTGTACTTTTGACCCAATTGAAAGACTGGTTTAATATCTCGACTCATAGACTTACTATGAAATCTGTGCCGAGCCAACATATTAGTTTAGCTATTAGAGAGAAGCCCATTCCATATTTCTGTAAGCCGAAATGTTGTTAGATTCTTCGCCAAATTGAGCATTAAAGAGGACGTGTAGGTAAGCAATCCACTTTGAAGAAAGCAGAATCCACTTGGTGCCTTGTTTATTCTTGAATGTGGTTTAATGAAGCGCTACACCCTCATTATAGTTGAATTACAACTCACCAGTGTCTTTGGTCTTCTTGGTTTTATACGCGACCTCTTTAGACGTTTAAAGATTCAAGCAACATAAGTAAGAGTAAAATTGTGTCATTAGTGATATGTATCTTTGAAATAACACCAAGTTTGCAATAATAAACAGATTTTTACTCCACCCAAATCGTTTATTTCTTATTTTGGTGTGGTGCTTAGAAATTTATTTCCTTTTATTTGTGACATCCTATAATAAATGTGACCCCTCAAAGGTTTTAGGCTTACAGTTTGCGAAACACTACAATCCATAACTCGCACAGACATGAGGAGAGCGTAAGTATGTAGGTACCTAGAAACAGGTTAGGTACATATATTACAAAAATAAATACTATCAGAAAATAATCGACATAAATATGCTGTTATGTACCTATAAACCAGACAAAACTAAGAAGGACATCTAAGTTGATCATTGCCATTGTTTTTCAAATGCAACAATTGCTTGCAGACATTTAAATATAACGTAAAAGGGAGTGAAGATATGTAAAAATATTGACGTAAAAATTAATGGTAATACGAGGACTATATGTTGTTTGGATTAATAATAAAATAATTGGAGTGAACGTTAACCTATTGCTATGGTATTAGAAATTCTTTGACTACTTAAACATAATAAGAATACAAAGAACTTAAAAACTCGTTTACATTCATAGAAAGAGTAAAAACAAAACTAACGATGTTTCCATTTCCAGTGTACCAACACAAAAAGGAATGTCAGGGTTGTTGGCTAGGTACAATGTTACGATTTAAAAATGGAACAAAATATAAATATTTGAATTAAAAAACGCGGGAAACTGAAATTTTAAGCACTTTCATTGGCTGGAAATGGCCAGCGGTTACGTACCATTGGCCAAAGATAATGTTTGTGCGACTAACAATTTTGTGTGGGGGAGATAAACCACGAAACTCGACCGCAAATGTTGACAGGAACTTAAGCCTTTATGTATCAAAAGAAAATAAACCATGGAACGAACCACTTAAAGTAGATATTCCATTGGTTTTAAATGAGTTTTGTATCTAGAATTAATGTGACAAGTCTGTAAGAAAAGAGAAGGAAAATCATCGTCAGAGGCTGTTTACGATTGGGAAAAAGAGACAGGTTTATCGTTAAAGGGTTGTAATACAAGTTTCTAAATACTAATGACTAGTTTCTAATATAATTTCGATAAATATAGATATTATTTGTCTGTATTTACGTTGTACCAAAACTTTAAATTCAATAAAGCTGAAATAATATTTCATTTGATTAAGTGAAATTACGTATGTTGAAAGTAACTTATAAAATGACAATATGGACTTAAGAAGCTAAGTAACCAATAAAAATATATATACATGTATATACATATTATATTGGTCTTTTAAATTTCATAACATAGTCATTACATCCAACCTTGGTACCTTGAACCTACTGGTTTATATTTTCAAGGCCACTCGTAATTAGACAGATTCAATATTTTTATTTTCTTATTTATTTAAGAAAAACAAGGATGTCTGTTTAATATTAAAATGAAAATAAATTATGAATACTCTATTACCTACAAAAAAACAGTACTTTTCCGATTATTATAGAGTAATTAGGTGCCTATGTATGATTAAACTTTAAACTTTAGATATGTTTACACGAAGCCTTGTTTGCTTAACAACACGCAATGGAGCAGCAAGCAACAACTGACTGTCATAACTGTCGCAACGCTCCAAGATAAGATATCGACATAAATTAAACACATCATTACCATAACCAACCCCTTATTTTGCGAAATAATTTTATTATAATAGATAATTTAAAACTGTCCAAGTTCACCCCACCATTGGGGGGGTTAAATGAGAAATGGGCGGTGCAGAGATTAAGAGGACATAATGAAAAGCTAGGCGTCTCTGTCGCTCAAATGAGCAGTCCTGAATAGCGTAAGCGGTTTACAATAGGAATTGACACTCGGCTCTACTGCCGTCTCTCTCTGTTGGCTGTGCACAAATAGAGTCCAAGTTATACCTATAGGGGTGTACACAAGCTGTACAGTTCCACGTGAGATTGTGTTTTGTAATCAGTGAAGTGGCGCCTTTATTCAGAAGCACAGGCACAATGTTCGCGCGTTTGACATTTTGACGTTTCGTTTGGCGGGAATTTGCATTTACATGTTTTAAGTCACGCGAGGCACAAATAAACCATATTATACAGCCAACTGTTAAAGTTAACTTTTTATTAGGCAGACGAAAAGTTAAAGTGATGTCAAAGGAAACGAGTTGAAGATTGTCATAGTTATTGCCTAGGCAATAACTTGGATTTTAATTTTACAGTAATTTAAGGTGAGTTTAAGTGTTAAACTATATTCAGTATATTAGTATCTTATAAATAAATAAATATTATATATTGAAGTAAATATATAGGTAGATACCTATTTATTACATATAAATAAAATATACTTGTATATCTACTAGACCACCGTAAATCAATATCTACCTCTACGACAACTTAAAATTACAGTGATGGTTATGACCTTGAAGTCTCTACAAACCAACCTTCCGGCAATGGTAGACCCCACTAACAAATATCATTGAGACGATCGCGGTAGTGGGCTCACTCCTTACCATATATACCATATAGGGAAAATAATGCTCTGGCATAGTTAGTAATCGCAATCCAAAGTTTTAAAAACGTCAACACATTCTTTATAAATATATAGTCATACCTACTTATAAGTAAAAGTTAAAACGCATATCAATTTTTTTTATCACTAGGTAGTAAAAAAATTCACTCACTCAATTATAGCTAAGTTTTGTGTCAAGCTTAACAATAATTGAGATAGAATATTATTCACTAATATAAATTCTAATCAATGTCAATAAATCCTCAATAACGCAGCATTGACAATGTAATAACCCTTATTTAATAAGTGCCTGAATCTTAATGCATTTATTTTATCCATTAAAAGGTATTATCAAAATAAGCATTTCATATCTTATTGGATAATTTAATTAACAGTGTAAAAGCTGTTTAAAATCAATATGTTAAAACCAATTATTAATAGATAAAGATAGCGCTTTATTTGCGTATAAAAATACAATCTGAATTATAAATAATTTAAAATAACTTTAATAAATTGAGAGAAACTTATACGAGCATGATACATTTAATACATTAAACGTTTCAATTACAAATAAGATCCATACTATTAATAATAATCAGTATGTCATCACTAATTATTAAACTATAGTTATATACCTATAAAATCTACATTAATTATTTTAAGATATCAATCAACATTTATTAAAAAAGAAAAACATAGATGTCATATATATTTGAAACTTGGGCGTAACTTTCTATCAGAATTATTTGGTGAGTATTGAAGATGGGGAAATGCGTGATCGTGGCAACAGGACACGAAAGGTTAGGATTGAGCAGATATATGTTAGTCCGTATTTACCCCGCGTCCGTATTTCCCCCATCTTCCCCTACCTAGTAAAAAATCCTGAAGTAGCATAGCACAAACTATGTTCTTGTAATATATAACTAAGTATATAAAATTAACTATTTATTTTACATTTAGTATCTATATGTATACAGAGGTAAACTAAATGTAATTTATGTATACATGTATAGTATATATATATATATCTATACTAAACATGTATCATCTATCTATCATCTTACATGTAGGTATACCTACATGTAAGATAAAAAGAACAATGACAAACTAACAAAATCATCGGAAGAAATTTAATATAATAATTAAGTAACATGCCGTTTTTATTTAACTAAATTAGTCGATTCAATGCACTTAACTACACCCTAATTGTAGCCTCCCATGAACACCAATGGCCTCTGAAAATAAAAATTAATAAGTATGAATAAAAAATAATAACGTTACTTTTTACGGTTATGTATTTTGACGACCTCGGTGGTCTAGCGGTTTAGCATACCGCCATACTTCCTGTCGCGGGTTCGATTCCTCGCACGGCACAAACATTTGTATTCATGAGCATGATTGTTTGTATCGGTCTGAGTGTTTTCTATGTAGTCAAGTCAAGTTTAAAGTTTATAAAGAGTTAAATTGCTTGCAAACCATTAAAAAATAATCGCGTAAAAACCGAGCGAATAGTTTTTTTATAAAATTGGCGTAATTAATATAAATTTAAAAGTGAGTAATACATTACATAAAATTATTTATGAAGGGTTCATTTAATATGCTACTCCCATTAAATTAAAGGCCAATAGAGCCTCTTAGATTTTATCGCAACCAAATGACATCAAAAGTGGTATAATATTTTATGAAATTATATGGACGGACTGGTGTATAATTTATACATAATATTTGTGAAGAATAGGCTAACTAAACACAGATAAAAACACACTTGAAATTGTTACAAGTCTTTGCACTGCTATTTTTATTTATTTTACAGATAGATAGATTTTTTTAAAAAACTAATCTGAAATATGCCTATATACTTGGATATTACTTACTTTATTATGTTCAAAGAACAAATTTTCTCCTATAGAAAATACAGGGATGTGAATCATCCGTCAATTAGATTTAGTAAGGGATTTTTTTAACTATAAAATTTTAAATATAAACATAATAGCCATGTATCTGTAGGTACTTCTTATCTTATTAAGGTATTCTATGCCCTACTTATTTAATAATATATAACTCTCCACATTTATATAAGCTACTTTCGTAGCATCTTGATTCTTATCTCATATATTACCCGCTCTACTTGATCAAGTACTTATTGGTATAATGGATGGATCAGTTTTGTGATCATATTTGTTTCAATTCATAATAGATTTGTTTGTACACTTACCCCCAAAGTTGGTTTGACTTTTTTTACCGTCGTACTCCTTGCCATTAAAGTCGTCATTTCATTATCTGACTCTGATTTTTCATCGGTTTCTTCTATACTCGAGTCTTTTTGTTCATTGCTATTATCAATTGAATTATCTTCTGTAGATTTACGAATGCTTTCAGTTGTCCTTAATATATTATTACTTTTATTTTCAAGTGTCCCATTATGAATCCTCGCCTCTGTACTAATATTTTGTTCTGTAATTACTGAATTGAGTGTTGAAGTTTCATTAGGTATTGTATAGTATTCAGCTGTATCATCAGTAGTAGTTGATAATGTTATATTTCCATATTTTTCACGTGTTGTTTTTATTGTATCTGTAGTTATGTAATTATTGTTAGATTCAACAATTTTATTGTTGCTCTTGGTAAAACTGATTTTTTGTTCATATTTTTTGGGTTTGTCAGTAATTTTAATGAAAATATTGGTTTTAAGTTTGGTATTAGGTTGTACCCTGTTCACAAGTACTTCTTTGAATTCCTCTAAAGTTAAATAAGCATTTGGAATCCTAGATTCAACAGGATTATCAACTTCCGTTTTTATTGTATCTGTAGTTAAGTAATTATTGTTAGATTCAACAATTTTATTGTTGCTCTTGGTAAAACTTATTTTTTGTTCAGATTTTTTGGGTTTGTCAGTAATTTTAATGAAAATATTGGTTTTAAGTTTGGTGTTAGGTTGTACCCTGTTCACAAGTACTTCTTTGAATTCCTCTAAAGTTAAATAAGCATTTGGAATCCTAGATTCAACAGGATTATTTATGTAAATTATAGGATTTGTTTCAGATCTACCAATTTGTTTAATTATCAAATTGTGTTTTTTAAAACCGTTAACTTCTTTTAATTTTCTGACGTGAATTTTATATTCTTTGTTTTGTTTGAACAAACGCCGCAACGAAGTAGTATTGTCATCTAAAATTATAAGTAGGTAACATTAATTTATTATTAACTAATTATTTCATTCGTTTTTATAACTACTAATATTTTATTTATGCAACCTGATACTCAGAATGACTGTACAAACTAATTAAGAAAGTCTAGGCTATTATATACCTACTATTAGTAATGTTCTTTCTGTATTCCTTTAAATTAAAATATTTTTTTAAATAATATAAATAATTTCCTAATAGTAACTTGATTTTAATTACATTAAATTACACAGATTTTTCAAAACACCATATATTTTATACTAAGACCTAACTTTCGTTCCAAAAAAGTAAACTAATCTAAGACGGCTTAAAATTAATTTATTTCAAAATATTTTATATATATTAATATTTATTTAGTTATTATGAAAAGGCAAATAATTTTTTTATTCTTCTTTTTTTAGTTTGGAATACTGTTTGTTATCTTTGATTAGGATTCGGTTACGTCAGAAATCGATCTAGTATTTCTTACCATCCTCTACAGCCTCTCTGTACTTCGAATATAGATCTGTTATCAAATCCTCAGGCACATCACAATATGCTTTATGATACACATAAATAAATAGAAATAAAAAATATATTTTCAATCCAATATCGACAGGAGAATGGAAGTTCCAAGACATTCTCATAAATCTCTGTGTAAATTTATCAAATTTGAATTTGTGATTAAGAAAATTATATGCAACGTTGCAATTCAATTTACGATAGCGAATGTAAGAGATCGAAATAAAAATCTGCCTATAAGTTAGAGACGATGAATGTTTCAATACTGTAGGTATAAGGATAAAATAAAGGAAAAACATAAATTATTTCTAAGTCATTAATTTCCTTTATACTAATATTATATTATAAATTCGAAAGTGTCTCTGCCTGTCTATTAATAACATTTGCACTACTAAATAGTTAAACGGATCTTTATAAAATTTGATATGAATATAGATTGTACTACGAGGACGAAAATAGATTATAATTTAGCAGAATACCGTATTTTTGTGTATGCTTTAAAATACTGTATGTTATTTAAACATACCTAATTCGTCACTAACAGCAAACTACGGGTCTGTAAGACAAACTGCAACAGGAGTTTTGCTGGACAAAGATAGTGTAACTTGAAAAAAATAAATGCTCTAAAAACCTATCTATTTATCCCAGACAGATGTTCTTAGTGCCATTCATGTATTATATATATGTACCACCAGTGTTGGTAATGAGGTCAGCTCCGCCATACATCAAATAGTCTATTGAAAAAAAATATTCGTCTCATCCCATTAAAGAGGCGGCAGGAAAGTTCTATAAAATGTAATCGAGAATACCGATATTAAGTGGATACTTTTTTATTTTTAATCTATTTTCCTGAGACACCGGAACAGTTAGTGTCTTTACTACGCACAGCCGGGCACAGATATCCTAATTACAAAAGTGTCACTTCCGTCGTTTTATTATTAATGTGTAGAATTTTTGCTACTCAGATTTAGTGCAATTTTATATCGTAAGCATAATGTAAAAAAATCCTACAGTAATAAATAATAGTCATATAGTATAAATAAACATTACGTTTTAATTACGATGTTTACTAATAACTATGTTTGTTGTGTAATATTTATATGAAACTGAAATATCAACACATACAGATATATTTACAATTATATTATTCAAGTAGGTACATTTTTTATATAATTAATAACAATAATAATATCCCCAAATTATTCACTCAACGCTATCTACTTAAGCTAAGCAGAGCTTGTGTTATGTTTATGTTTTTTGTAAATACATACATAATATACATAGAAAACACCCATACCGAAACAAACAACCCATGTCTACAAATATATGTACCTACCGTGCAAAATGATTCGAATCGGATAAATCGTAATAATGCGTAAATCGGAATTAAACCGAAGACCTAAACCGCTACACCACAGAGACCGTCGAAATTGGAATGGCAAACAAGCTGGCCTCTGTCATGGTAAGTGGTAACCGTCGACTAATATACGGTATCACATAATCACCTTATTGTTTGAGGCTCGTGTTGCCATTCGCGGCAAATCGTCGAACTATATTTTCATGCCTTTTATTCTTGAATTTCACTGCCTTACCTCATCCTTCAACCGAAACACATCTGGCTTTAATCACAGACTGCGATACCCACTCATATGACTTTCTATAAAGTCTACTTCGGACACAAAATGTGCATAAGGGTACATTTATAAATTAATTAATTTCGTTCACATGTAACAGTGTAGACCCCTTATTAAAAATTAAACTAGAAAAAATAATAAAGCATTTATAGAAGTCAATGTTTTTGGCAAAGTAAAGCAATTTTATTAGTAAATTTGAAATGATTATTGTTATATGGCTAAGCTATTTAAAATTAAGAAGATAAAGATATAATTTTACCCCTTTGAGGGCTATTTTCTTAATATATACTCGTAGGTAACTTATTCGTGTGTCTATTTTTATTATTTATCTATGGTACAAAATTTCGTCCTAATTCCTCCAGCCCTTTTTACGTGAAATCATAATAAACACACAGACAAAAAATGAGACGAAAAAACAAATATAATAATATATCCTAATAGTCACAATAGTACTATTTATATATGTAATTTAGTCTAACAAGATAGATAAACTTTTTAAATATTTTATAATCAATAGGTAATACATACATCCAATGTTTACGTAACGGTGGTTACCTCACTATTACTCTACATTTTTTAATAAAAAAATGTAGAGTAAAATAACTAAGCAACAACTACAACTTCGTAATAAGTACCTAATAGTGAGGTCACACATTCATTTCTAATGCAGTCGAAGGTACAAATAAAAAAAAATATTAATTATTTATATTATATGTCTAGTATATATATATGTCCAGTATCCATAACGTAAGCTCTGCTTAGCGCGGGACTAGATGACGTTGTGTGAATTATCCACGGATATTTTTATCACTGTATGTATTCCATAATGTTATAGTAGGTAGTTATTACGTATACATTCATCATATCGATTGTGAACCCTGTTGGGCACAGTAAGCAGAAGAGAAGAGGTATTTTGTTATTATGTTTTATTAAATGTTTTGTTTTAAAAAAATTGTACAATATTTAATTAAGTAGATACAGTTATACTTTTTAATAATTTCTTGAGATCTCGTATACATTTTTATCACTATTTTCGTCTTTTGCTGAATATGGGAGGTGATTATATATGACAACATATATATATGTTGTTCAGGTCAGCACAATAGAAGAGTACGGCGTGTACACGATGCTGCCAGCGCAGCAGCTGGCCCCCATCAGCCCGTGGCCCCCCGACACCAACCTGCTGGACCGCATGGATGACCTCGCACACAAAGGTAAAGGTAATGGTGACCGCCATTTCTTCCTGACTGTCATTGCCATAGTATTTGGAAAAAAAAGAGACAAACCAAACATTGTGACGGAAGAAAAATGGTGACTCTTTTTTTACAAATACATAATCAACTTGCAGTATACAGTATATGAAGTAACACGATGTATGTACATACATTGTCTTTACAACTAGTATTTTTTTTACTTGTAAGTGTTCAATTAATCTAAAATTGTAATGTAAGTTCAGTGGTGTAATGCTTGTTAAGTCACTGTTCTAACTTACATTCTCTTAAGTAAGTACAGACATATAATAATATATAAGTTACATAGATTGCACGATTAAGTAAGATAATGCTAGGCTGAGAAATCTAAAAGTAAAAAAAACTACAATAAAAAATGCAATCTCATCGAATTTGAAATCATTGGACTTTGAGCCTTATATGGGACCATCCACAAATAATGTCACACGAATTTCATTATTTTTTATCCCTACACCGATCCTTGTCACAGTTTGTGAACACACACATTTGTGAAACTCCGTTATTCTTAGACTTTACTGATTTTAATAATTCAAAGTTCGTGTATATTTAGATATATTAGATTTTGAAATGTGACGTCACAAAATTTATGACTTATCCCGATTAAGTGTGACATTGTGTGACAATGGAACACAATGTCATACTTTATCGATACCCTCCATCCTTTAAAGTGTGACGTTTTTAATGGGTGACTCCTATAGGGTCTAATCATAAAGTCGAAATAGAGGCGAATGAATGAGTATTTGAAAGAGTTCTTATCATAAAATTATTTTATTTCGAATATGGTCAATTACTGAAATTATTATCAAGTTTTTCAAGAAAAGATTCTGCATATTTAAATATATTTTTCTAATATACATAATCACATATATATATATAGTCATACGACTTGCATGATGATACTCGTAAATACCTCCAAATGAATATGTTCAGATTGATAATTAATTGTTGTTCTTTTACTAAATGGATTCATATAATATTTTATTGGACATGATAAAAAATTCTTGCTCCATATTAATTTGAATTAAGAAATCTAATCTGTAAAAATTATAAATAATGAAATAAATTGGACATGTCCTAATCGCTTTTATTGAAATTGAATTACATTGATTAACGCAATTTATATTAAATTCACATGGGGCTAATTGTAATATAGGGCTACTCTATCCATTAAAAAATATACCCCAATCGGTCTACTATATAAAAAAAATTACCGTAGTTGGTTGCTTATCCACCTGAATAGTTTTTGTTTGGATGCATACTAATGCTTTGCTTTTGTTTCCCTCATTCCCTGCTTCGTACGGGTTCAATTGGTAGACGAAGTCGAGTGTCGAGGATATATAATATTAGCAAATATCAGTTCGTTTTGCTATATTTTATTAGGATAATGTACTACAACTTTAATAAGTACATTAAATTAATGAAATATCTATTAATTTTAAGAGAAACGTATTAAAACAATTGAACCTAAATATCTTGTAATCCTTACGTTATACTGATTTCACATTAAATGTGAAATTAGTTACTGATTACCTTCCTAGTAGTGGCACGATAAGTTTTTATTTATATATATAATATAAGAAAGACCTTATGCGCATAGCGAACTTTTCCACGTAATATTCCTCTACTTAAAAATGTACAGCGGAAATAATGCAAACGCTGGTAAAATTTCGCAATGCGTACCCTAACCCTATCGTAAGAGAGTATAAAATAGTTTTACATATGTGATCATGTTTACTTTGACTGTACAACCACGACCGGTTCAATGCATGTAGTACTTGTAAGACAAGTTAAAACCTGTTGCATTACCTAAGTCTACTGCCGTGAAGGTATAACGTGATTAATTGGAGTAAGCAGACTTATGATGCGACAGGTCACAGCGGTGTTAACCAGCTCGGCGGGGTGTTTGTAGGAGGGCGGCCGCTGCCGGACTCCACGCGGCAGAAGATCGTGGAGCTGGCGCACTCGGGGGCCAGGCCGTGCGACATCAGCCGGATACTCCAGGTCTCCAACGGCTGCGTCTCCAAAATACTCGGCAGGTTGGCCACTTAGCAATTTTTAACACGGTCATCGTCATTGAGGTAATAAATAAAAAACTAATAGAGCTCTGTTTGAGCGAGACTTTATTATGTTGATGGTTATGACTGTAATTTCACGTACAAAAATATATCGTTGATTATCTACAGTTACTACAACTACTGTACTACTATATTTTTTCACTTCATCGCAAAAAAAAATTTTATTTTTTATAATTCTGCTATGTTATCTACTAGTCTTAAGTACAAGTATTAATCAGCCATTTTCATCAATCATATCAAGCATTCAACAGAATACGCTGTTGATAAACACCATCTCTCGAATTAATTATGTTTGTTGAAGATATTAACACTAGCAGAAAATTGGAATATTTAAATATAGATAAAATATAATAAAACATGTAAAATAGCTTTCATTACCAGTTATGCCTACAAGTTCAAATAAACCACAAACAAACATACAATCCGGCAACATTATACTAAACCATCCCAAAAATGCAGTTGAAAGCGTATCCTCGGCTAACTGGACGTGACCACAGGATCATAACGACGTTTCTGCAAACCGCATTATGCCACCAGCTTTAAAAGACCTCCAGTAAAATGCTACATCTAGTGGATCAGAGATAATTAATCTTGGTGATGTAAAAAGGCGAAGTGATAAAGGTTAGTTTTACGTGACAGACGAGTAACTTGAGAAGCCACCTATTTTAGTCCAGTCGTTTGAAATGTCGTTGTATTTTTATATTTGCGGTTGAAATGACCTATACAATTTGAGGTTACGGTATTAAGATCAATGTTAGCCGATTGCTAAAGAAAATTATGAGGTGTTTTGTATTTTCAAAAAAGATTACTTTTAGCAAGAAGGCCTTATTTTAATTATACATGTGTTATTTAATATATCGTTTATGACTTTTCTTTACTGTAGGTATATTACAAATAAAGTATATTCTATCTTTCTATACTTATAATTACACCATTACGACAGTGTCTACCTAGGTAGACTTTGCGCAAAGTTTTCTGCGTGGGTACCGCTGTCTCATCTATTTCAGCTGCCAAGCCGATTGCTACTTAAGATGTGTTCCGGTTGAACAGTGAGATATGGCAGTGAAATTATAGGGTGCAAAGGCACGATATCGTAATTCTCCTAAATGGCAATGTATAAGAGATACCTCGGGGGTACGTTATAAATTTAGACGAATTTAAAATTTGGTAGACACAACGTTCGTGATTTTATTCATGTGTATGCGACAGTCACTTACCATCAGGCGGACGATAAGCTTGTATTGTTCTAAATTGCATAAAATAATAACGCTCTTAAATTAAAAGAGAAAATTAAAACAATATTGTTAATTCAAGAAATATTTTCATAAAACAACAGCTGGTCGATGTTTAAGCGAAACAAAATATACACAGGTAATTTTGCTTACCTGGAATCGAACTTGATACTATTGAGTTCGGGGGAAACTTAACACCAATATTTCTTTCTGGCCACCCTCTATGAAATGTGGAGTGGGGTGAACTTATGTTCTGAACCATATCCTAAAAAAAGTTAGTGCGAATATTAAATGCTTAATAAAATATTATACTAGTAGTTCTACGTATTATTCTATATTGCGAACATGATTCTATATTTTGTTATCAAGTTCAAGTTCATGTAAAAAGAATAAGAGCTGAGTTTCTTGTCAATTCTTCATAGCTCGGAAGCCAGGATATTATATGAGTCCTAAAAAAAATACGCTTGCCATAGTAATAAATAACTAAATGAATACTATATATCTGAACTTATTGCAACTAATGATTTCTGTAAATATAGCGAATAATAGTCGAAAGCTCAAATAAATAAATAAAAGAAAAAAATTAAAACTATTGATGCTGTAATTTCAATGCAGAAAAGATTTATCTCGAATTTTAATAAACTGAAACACTTATTCTATCTCTCAAGTTGTGTATATATAAAACTTTTCTGATACAAACAAAATAATCATTTACGTCATATCATCGTTCAATAATAATTTATGCTTGTCACTATTAAGTTATACTGATATCATTGACACGAGAATTGCTTCGTAATCATGAATAAACATAATGTAATGTACTCTGAAATCTGTCGACTGGAAATTATAAAATAAAATCTAATATTGTAATATGAGATAAGTCAGATACATGCACATGAAGTATTTAGTGATCGTAGGACTATCATCATCATCATATATATCTACAGTTATATAATTTTATGCGTCTTCATCATCATAATGATGTACGATCTTCTTCTTTTTCCAGCCAGGAATAACGGGGTCACAGAGTATTGATATGATGACCACATATTTTTAGACTGTAATTATTTGCTCATATTTTTATGAGAAAATTAAATTCAATATGTCAACAGACTTATATAAAAACATCTTTAATACTTATTTCAGTTTTTTTAACGGTGTAGGTATTTCCTTATCGGAACAAAACGGCACACAGAATGAAACAAAACTTTTTACAATGATCTATTTGGAATGGAAATATTTTTAAATAATTTGACTTAGAAAAATATGTATTCTATATGATTATACGTGTGTAAAATAAATAATAATTGACTGTACCTCAATAATTTAGCCGCAAAACAAAGGATTTAAAAGATCACATGGATGACTAGCCATATCATAAATCATATCATAATAGTATGCGCCCTATACCTACCTAATTATATTTTAGACCTTTTATCCTAGCAAATTAAAAATATTTTGGATGATTAATAAAAAATATTAATTATTTTTACTAACCTTACATTTATTTTCATATTGATTAATACATATGTAGTATATGTTAATCTATACATATACCTAAATAAAATTGGAGTGTCTGTTTCTAATATTGAAATAACCGTTTTTTACTATATAGTAAAAATGCATATGCATATGAATATATATACGGTACATACACCATAATATCATTTTTTAGAATTTTTGTTTGTCTGTCTGTCTATCTGTCTGTGTGTGTGTAATATCTGATGTAATAAGGAGTAACTTAGTGTACTTTTATTTTAGAAAAATAAAGTTGTATTGTATATAATATTATGTTATCATTTATTAAATAATTTGAAATTAATTATTCCACATACACATGAATGAATAAAGTTTATTTACAATATATGGTCTTAGTAATTAATTTTATACCATTATCCTTCTCCTGTAGGTATTACGAAACGGGGTCTATTAGGCCTCGAGCTATCGGCGGCTCCAAGCCTCGAGTGGCAACAGCAGAGGTGGTCAGCAAAATAGCACAGTACAAACGCGAGTGCCCCTCTATCTTCGCTTGGGAGATCAGGGATCGCCTGTTGAGCGAAGGAGTCTGCACCTCTGATAATATTCCTAGCGTGAGTATATTTTCCTTCATTATTTTGTGTAAAGTGTCTATATATTTTTCTGGTACATAATAATGTCTTATTTTTTTTAAATGTAAATATTTGAAATATCTGCTAATAATTAAATTAATAATTGCTATTCCAACGTATAAAAAATAAATTTATTATTACTGTAATTTATTGGAAAACGGTGTTGGTGACAATTTTATAAATATGTCAATAGTAAGTAAATTATATAATATGCCATTATTTGTTTGCCTAAATAATTAAAAGAAAATTGATAAAACATTTACTAAACGTATATATTATTTAAAAAAAATAGAATTAGATGTAGACTCTTCAGCGTGGATAACTCAGTCTCACCTATTTCAGCCGCCAAAAGCTTTCTACCTCTCGGTTGTAGGGAACATTAGGCAGTGGATTTACAGGATAAAAGGCATGACACCTTAGTCGTATGGAATGACAAAAATCTAAGGCTATAGAGAAATAAAATACAATTTTATTGAAAACAATTTAAATATAACGCAGCTAAAAATATTTTCCTCAAATCAGTGCTAAATGGAAAAACTGCGTTTCGAAACGCCTTTGAAAAGTATGAAATCATGAAAGGGCGAACCTTGAAACACAATGGTTTTGTCCATCTATACAGCTATATATGTGTCTACAGGATGCTATAACGCCTTATCTTACCCCCGCACTATACAGGAGTCCCCTTTCGGTCCCCCCTCATCCCTCCCCCGGCACTTCGTGGCAAAACAATATGACGTTATAACTTTTTTCTTCATTTTTTCCCCTTTTTGAATACGGGGCCGCTCCCTTCTGGGACATCCTTTAGACGTCGATACGTCTTCGAATATATAGGTTGATGCTTTTATAATAATGTCGACTAGCCCTCTCGCAATTCTCGCTCCAACTTTATTTTGGGTTCGTATGCATAGATAAGTATTGTCTATTATATGTTGTATATATGTATGTAGATCAATCTTGATGAACATACTTATTACTAGATCACCATTGCGTACAAAAATTTGTAACAAAATAAATATATTATTTAAAAAAATTAAGGGAAATAGTTTTTATTTATATTAAATGATATTAACACGATGGACATGCTATTAAGTATAATCGATATGATATTCCTTATGGGGCTGAGAGAAGAAGAGTGAAAGTTTAAAGAAAGCTGTATTTACATACGAAAGTGATTTTCATGTTCAGGTAGTATTCGGAGATACTTTACTCTTTAGGTACTTTATATTAAAATTTTAATTTAATTTATTTCATTTACGAAAATGTTATTAAACCTAAAATGAAAATAAAAAGCTACAACCAAAATTATAGTCCAATAGAAACACCATAAAAGTTAACGTAGCGGACGATTTCAATCATAACACAGTGAGTCTACAAAAATTACACCAGCGTTTTACGACTCGCACTCAAAAGAGAATCTTAAACACCCTTTTACCTAAAATATCTCCCTTTCGAATACTTAACATAAATTAATTAAGAAATACGCACCATCACCCTGTTGGTGACGTTTTTCGTGAAAAAAGCAGCACATTAAGTACTCGCCGTCAAGAATATCGAGAAAAACATAAAACCGAAACAGAGGGAAATCTCGAAACGAGACAGCTATATGGCGTTATTAATGAGAACGAAAGAGTTGGAGGGATGTCTCTTTTTCTACCGCCTAAAGGGGGAAAAGAGGGCGATTTTGACACGGCATGAATAAAGAAAATATGAGGGCTTTTGTTACCGTAAAAATTCCTGTACAGGGGATAAAGTCTTTAAGTTATCAGTGCGGCAACCTCTGAGGGAGGTTATGTTATATAAACAGATAGGTAGAGAGCTGTAATATATACAAGAGTTACGTTTGATGTAAACGTCTCTCTAATATCGGTTATATTGGGTGTTTTCGTAGGTATATTGTCTCAACGATGCTTGGATATGGAATATATTAATATTTGGGGGCTTGATATAGGTTAAACTCGTGCCTTATTTCATTAAATATGACGAGATGTGAAAATTCTCGACGCAATAATATATTTTTTTATAGTCTACAAATATGACCAATGATAATTTATTAGAACAGTAATAATACAAACTCTTTATTGTGCACTGAGAACAAATACCAAGAGAAAAACATACTGTCTTTCTGTGTTGGAAAATGCAATAAGAAAAGCGATCTTATCGCTTAAATGCAACCTCTAACTGTGAATCTGGAAGTACAGAAAAAAATCAGACACCGACATTATTGTAAAATACAAATATTACTATTTTACAATATTTTCAATTCAAAATAAGGATACTGATAAGGAATAGTGATAGGCTGTTAATCATATTTATTAATAGGAAATTTTATGTCGACCCTACTTAATATTTCTATGGTAGATTAACGACAAACAACAGCATAAAAAATGTCGTTAAGCCTTTACAGAGAAGACCCTTAACTAAAAACTAGTAACGAGAGTGTACCCTGTTAACTATTCATACCCTAAACGTTCCTTTGTGCTATCCAAAATTAGATTCTGCAATTGCAAATATAAAGTTCAATTTCGATTATTGATAATGAATGTGTGGTGAGAGGGTCAATAGTTGTCACAGGGTCATGTCGGAGAGAACATGCGTTCCCGTTGCAAATCACTTCCGGGCCACTAAATCCAGGCCAAATTAATGCATTTAGCACGCTCCCCGGCCCTTGGCTGGGGATGACAACTTTATTTCATTGTATCGCTATATTTTCTTGTCACTTAGTGACAGGCGTATTGCATTTTTGTGGCGGTGATTTCACGTTGACTTTTACTGGATTGATATTAGGACTCGATGTAATAGAATCTAAATAATTGAAAATTGTTCCTTTCTCATCTATCTGTAAATAGTAATCGATGTCTGCAGCATGAGAATAGAATGAGGACTTACATTAAAAAAATACCAAAATATATTATATTATCTTGAAGTCTTGGCGTATATTTGGGGTTGTATTTTTATGAGAATATTAATAATTTTACTATTATTAGTGTGATGTGAGAAAATTGTCAAAATAATAATTTTTATTTTAATAAGTAAATAAACAGGCAATATATACTATATATGTATATAATAATATATAATATATAGTCACTTATAAATTATTACAATTTATGCGTCATCATCATAATAATATACATATAAGAGAAGAATAAATAGGTATGTAGTCTACTAATATCAGGCTGGCCAGTGGAATTAATATTAGATTTTATTTCTTCTCTGATATCCGCATAATACAATTTAATACGACTAAAAACACAATGTAGTTATTTCTGAAATCACTTGTATTTTATAAAAAATATTAGTATTTTTCAATATTAGACACATATATCCTTATCTTACACAGTCAATACAATACGGGTAATAAATAGCTTGTTGAGAACACTGATTTAAAATATCATTACGGTACATATCTCTGATTCGGATCTCACGGGGCCCGCCAGAGCGAATATATCAGCAACAAATTGTAACAAAGGAGTCCAGCAAAGGAGATTATCGTAGATGGCGCGTGGCGCGCACGTGACGTGCATGTGGTCGGCGATAGTAACATTCACCCTATTCGGACACCGCTATTGAAAATTGAATTATAACTCCTACTCATAAAGCGTATTTTTTATTAACAAAAAATATATATTGAAGATCGAATCCGCGATAATGTAAAATGAGTACTGTGCCACAAGATATTAAAAGTGTTTTTGGACAGCAGAAAATGTCATGAACTTACTTTAAAGTAAGAAGTGTTGGAGGGAAATTAATACCACAATTCGAAGGATTTAAGGCTTATATTGATGTTGAGTGTGTAATCAGTTGAACAAATAAATATACATAATTTGGTTGTCTTGTCCGTGTGTGGTTAATGTCAGTGTCGTTTGCAAAATAGCTTCAGGGAATATAAAAAAATACTGTATTTATTTGTTTTCCTGTATATAATAGCCCTTTGTAATATTTGAATACCTACCCTAGTCTTTCTTTACAGTTTTATAATTAGAAACAAAAAACAATCATGACCAAATCATTCATAGTAAACATGTATTTTATTTATTTCATATTCGGAGTTTCACTATAATATAAATTTATTAAAATTTATTAAAATCATATTTATAATTATATACGTATTTATATATTTTTTATCGAACAACCACCTATAATTAAATAATATCGCATGAATATTAAATTGAATAGACGCAGTGTTATTTTTCCCAACCGTTTTGCCGAAAATATAATTTAAAAAATTTATACCGACTTCCTTCAGAAAATTTTCCCCTGAAAATATTTGGACCTAATATATGAAAAATGTGCCACATCGTTCGAGCTATTCAGTGTTAATGATAATTGTTCATGCCTGCATACGATTGAACATCATTAATATAAAGGATATAGACTCTTATCACTTAAATCCGCATCTTCAATGTTCTAATAAAATATATCAACCCTTCCGTTTATCCACAACGAGTTAATTACAATGTTTGCGTCCAACCGTTGGTTCCCCTTCGCTTGTAACATCTAGGTACTTACCTACTGTAACGAGAGCAACACTTATAATCGCTTTTTTTTATACCACAGTGGTGGCAATCAAAGATACTTTCTTTTTCTTATTAGAGCATTTATACTCATGTAGAATAGTAAACGATATCATACTATTACCATACTAATGTATATTAATTTTTAATGTATACCATTTGGTATATTACAAAGAGAATATGAAAAAGTTTATTTTGTACATTTTTATGAAAAATTCTTAAGGAAATGGATGTTACAATAGTAATTAAATAATTATGAAAATGCACGTTACGACGGCAATTGATAGTCATATACTAAACTTAAATATTATAGTTGTAGATAAAACTATTTAAAAAATACAATTCGTACACATTGTACATATGTTACTACTTATCAAGACGGAGAACGCACTGGCAAACTGAGAACTTTTTTCGTGCGTTTGTGCAAGTTAAACTCAGAAACTGAATAAAAGCTTAGAAAGTGCTCTT